GCAATTTGCCGGGCTTTTATACTTCAAACAGAGGGCGGCTGAAAAAGACTAGAGCTGCCAGGAACAGTCGTGATCCTTCTAGAAACTCCAGCGCACACGCTTCAAGCGTCGCGTGACTTTCGCTGTCGTAACAAAGCACATATTTTTTGTAATCCTTATTTACGTAACATGCAGTTTTAGAGTTATGTGTATCCACTCTTGCTTGAAAAACAAATATGATAAATACTTAGAGCGAAAAAGCTTGCTATATGCAGTATTTATAATTGTATAGATTAGAACAGTAGATAATTTTCGATAAATCACGGAAAACATTATATTAATTTTAAAATTTAATTTTGAAAGCTGTTGCTGTTCTTGGACGCTAGATGGCTTGAATTTTAAGAAAGATGGCATCTCTCAAACTCAAAGAAGTGGTTACGAATTATCAAGTTTTAATGCAAGAGTGGAACAAAAAACCTCAGAATCTTGATAAGTGTGGCCAGCTATTGTCAAAACTGAAGGTAAGTAGGCACTGTGTAGAAGCTTACAAAGTTTAAGGAGGTATGGGAGAAATTCCTCAACATATTTTTGAAAACAAACCCCTGACGTACTAGTTAAGCCTAAAACTCCCTAAATTGCTTTGTCATACATTGGCTACATATAAAATAAATTATAATATATAACATGTATGTTTAAAGTTTACACAGAAATTAAAATGCCTTTGTTTTAAAATTTTTGTTTTAACACAGAAATTTACGCTTAAAACTAGTCAAAGTACTATGTTCAAAATTATAAATACATTATTTAACCTTAATATTCTAATCATCGTATTTGCTATTAACTATTATTTATTATTATAGTATAATACTTATAGAGAACTCGCAGTACTATTTATTTTTTTATTTAATAATTAAAGTATAGGTATTATTAACGTATTTTAACTGTAGATCACTAGCTACAATGTGTAGGTATCCTATTCCTAGTAGCCCTTCTCTGAGACGGAACCATTTCTAACAAATCAAATTACCTTAGGTAAGGAGTCCAAGATTGAACACATTACTGCAAATGTGGGTTAACCAGTGACTTTTAAAACTTAATGACCTTGAATTAATCAAAAATAATAATGGGAAACAATGGAAATATTTCAGTCAGTTAAATGGTTTGAATAATTGAAAATGTATTAATCAGAAACATTAATATCAGTTAATTGATTATTTTCATGACATTAATTATAATTTGAATTAATCAGTTATTTGATATGACAGCTTTGTAATAAATGTTCATAAATAATTAATTAATTGCATTAATCATCAAGTTCCTGTATCTACCTGTAAAACTTGTGGATAACAAAAAGACCCCTTAACAAACTGTGACATAAAAGTTTTCCTTGCAAAATTCACAAACTCTTGTATCCTAACATTTTTGAGTAATTTGTGCTTGAAAATAATCATTAAAGTTAAAACAGCAATGTAACCTTTCTGTTAAAAGACAATAATATTTAACCACTATTTGCAGGGGATAATTTGTTGCAAAGATTTCACAAAATAGTAGTTGCTACACAAAATAACTTCACATAACAGTTGGAAAAATTTGCTTAATACTGCATCAACACATGGTGAACATGTTGTCTCAGATATGTGAAATCTAGAAAAAATACTTAATCAGATTGCTTGAATTTTAAGAAAAACTATTTTCTGTAAGAAAAAATTAATACTTAGTATTTTTATGGATTTTTAACCTTGGAAATCCTACTGTACAATGCTTTTCTCACTAGGCATACTCATGTTATCTATTTTCCTATTCAAAATAAATAATTTATCTTGCAAAATAGAAATCAGACTTTGTTCTAAAATGCAAAAAAAAAGGCCATAATTTAAGCCTAACTCCTTAAAAATGTGATTTTTATAAATAAGTAGTATAACAAAATTAAAGACTATCTTGCTGATTTGCCAGTCCATATGAATAATGAATATATTAACTCAAGGATATAATAACAAATATCATATGAGTTTAAAATTTATAGAGAATATACTATTATGAAAATTGTTACCCAATTCTGATGTGTTATGATATACATAAAATTGATAAAAATAATTACACTTCAACAACTTATTTCATTTCACATTGTAACAGTTGTCAAGTAATATGCTAATTTAAGTAGCATCTTAACCACACTAGTATGTCTGTCTTATCCAAGCAGGCTTGAAAAGGCCTTATGGCATTGGATATAGCAAGTATTGTGTGATTGAAATATTAATATAAACTCTTATTTACTTTCACTCAGAAGTTCTTATTAATGATTACTTATCTCTATGAACTACACAAAGGAATCTGTACAAAATACAGATAATTTGAAAAATGGAATAACAGGGTTAAGCCTGATTATTGTTAAGGAAAATATTTTGCTCCACTGACTCAGACAAGACAATTTATTGAACTCTACTATATTGTTTTATATGAAGTTGTATTAACAACATACCCGAGTCAACTGGACCAATTGTATAATTTTTAACAAAAAAATAGGAATAAAATATAGGGATCTGAGGAATCTTTTTTTGGTGGCTTTTTTCTATGGATGTAGTGGTTAATTATTCTCACTGCTCTGGCCATAGTTGGGTGGCTATTAATAAACATCACTGTAACTGTTCAATTCAAGCTTTAACTCTGACTTGCAACAATTCCACAATGTAAATAGTTTTATTAGGAAGTCATTCAGCATCATGCATTCATCTGCAATGCCTTGTTGTTCTCCTTTGATAATCCACATTTTTCTTTTTCATTGTCATCAGTTTCATTGATCTGCACTGCAGCTTGTAACTTCTATATTCTGCAGCCAGTTCATCATCATCATCAACACTATTTTCAGTTTCCTATTGTTTGTAACTTCTCCAGTGTGTAGGATTTCTAGGGTACCAATCCGATCATCTTACACAAAGAAGTTTCAACAAATGTATTATGTCACTATGAAAGGATAGTTATGGGTATTGTGTTATAATACCATGACATCAGACAAAGTTAAGTAAAAAAAAATATCTATCTGCTAAAGCACAAAATAATTGTATCTAATTTTTGTGTTGTTGAACACTGTTGAAAATCTCATACAACAGTGCATATTCTTTAAAATTTACAAGAGGTTTGAGAAACTACAGCATGTGTGCCTCATGGATGTATGAAACATGGAGTTTGGTTGACTCAGAGATTAATCTTTAAATTAAAGGAATAGGAGGTATCTGGCTAACTTAGATAAGCCACTGTAGCTTTTGTTCTCAATGACTGTAGCTAAAAATATCAATATTCTTCCTAATTTCTTATAACTATTCAAATTCATTTTGAGTTACTTGAAGCATCCAGTAATTAACTTGGATTAATTTTTTAGCTTGTACAGTTACATATTAGGTTGTTGATGCTAGGCTGGGCTTGCATTTGTTTGATATTTTGCTATAATGTGAAGTAGATATTAGAAGTATTTATCTCCACTTCTTTGCCTTACAACTGCAGTCCTGTCATATTTACAATGGAAATTCATTATTTATAATAATAAATAAAGTAAAATTAAATTAAGAAATAACATGTATTAATAAAAATATATAGTGGTATGTTGCTGCTGACCAGTAGAAATAGATCACATTGCTAAGAATGAAATGTTAGCCTTAGTATTTTTTTTTGTAATGAAATATCATATGTCTGTAGCTCATTCATATAAAGTATTTGTTCCTAATGTTTATGAATTTTCTCTTTTATGAGACACCTGATGTTAGTAAGCATTGAAAATCACGTTTTTATACAACTAAAGGCAATGTATGTTCCATACTGTCTTCTTAATACTCTCAATTTTTTTAAATCTAAAGGTTGCTTTGACAAACTTGACATTTTTGCCCACATCAGATGCTTCAGCAACAAAACAAGAGCTTCTGGTGGCACGTAAGTCTATTTTTTAATATTTTGCACATAAATCAGCTTTACCATATACCTACCGAAATCTGGTTGTTATTACTAAGAAAGAGGTGTAACCAACTACTATGCTATTTTAAATGTATATTTGTTTTACTTAAAATACTATAAAGAAGAGGGATAAGATATACAAATTTTTAAATGGAAAACCTAGCTATACATAAAAAAAATTATTAAGAACTTTTTATTTGTTTTCATTACTTGCCAAATTATGTCAAATCTTGTAAGGTATTATCTGTATTATGAAATACCATAAAAAAAAGCTGTGTTTCTTGACTATTAGTAAATAAGTATTTTTCAGTTACCAGTAGTAAAATACTGCCTTTCTTGACTACTAATAGTAGAAATGTGTCATTTTTAACTAGTAGATAAATGATTTTCTATTAATCGTAAGAGTAAGCAGAAGCAGTCATTCTTTGGTGACCAGAGAACTGTCAGTTGATTATTACATAATAAGTTTATAGTTTTTCCAGTTTTACAGTATTAGAAGCCTGCCCTCAGCTTGTATCCCAATAATGTGATTCTCTTATTACTACATTACATTTATTCTTTTTCTCTGTTTTGTTCAGACAGTTAAGTAATAACTGATAGCTATTTTTTGAGTAAATAACTCCTGATAGTTATTCTTTGTCTAAGTTAATAGTTGGTTCTTGTTCTTTGGCTAAATTGAAATTACTATTAGATATTGACTCTTGATTAAAAGTGTAAATGTCATATAATGCTGTATTCAAATTGTGAGGTTGCTACTGCTACTCTTACACTTTTTAATAGTTCAAGTATTAAAAATTGATTTGGTTAACTGACTGGTTTAAGCAAGTTATGTTTTGCTTTAAGTGACAATGACTGTATACTTGCAGAATGTTGCATAATATTTTAACAAAATACACTGATGTGAAAGAAAGTTTAAAAAATGTTTAACATTTCTATGTAGAAAATATACTTTTTTACCTTTTAAGATTTTTTAATTTCTGAGTTTACTGTGCAAGTTTTTTCTGTGCATAGGATGATATAAGCCTAAAGTGTGTTCTTTTTTTGTTATAATCTCAGTCAATATTTACAGGAGATATTTTAGAAATTGGAGCTCAGTGGAGCATTGCTACTAAAGACATACCCTCATTTGAGCGTTACTTAGCTCAATTAAAATGCTATTACTTGGATTACCAGTAAGTAACTAATGAAATGATTGCTTCTTGGATTGTAAATAAATATCTATTAAAAATATTAATGTCAGTATTGTTAGTACATATTTTTTTTCTTATACTTGCCTTTCAAATCAAAGTTTTGTAGTTGTTATACTTCTGCAAAATAAACTAAAGCTTGTTTTTTAATATGAGAAAAATCTAAGTACAAAAGACATTTAGTAACATAAAAAAATAAAACCTGAGTAAGTGCACACTAGAAAATTTTCACCCAAACTTTTCATTGTGTTAGAAAGGTTTCACGCAGCTGACCTGGATTTATTGCAATAAACATAATTTTTCAAAAATTTAAAAATTCTTTCTAACCTCATTTTACCTTCTTTTAGTATTATTTATATTGTGCATATAGTTTTTACTTTTCTAGTTTTGTCCTTTTTCAGAAGTTTCATTGATTTTTTTATTTATTTTGGGCTTAACCTTACATGTAAAATAAATAATGCTTCAGTTAGCTCATGATTTTAATAAAACTGTATGTAGAATTTATGTAAGAATTAGCAACAGAAGAGTTCATATTTTCAATATAGTGAGTGATATTTTATTCAATACATTATTGTTTTACTTTTGTTTCTGCTTCTGAATATAAACTACTTAAATAAATTCCAAATTTCATCATATTTACTTTGTTCTGTATTTTAGAGTAGTCAGAATACTGAAGTTTTAGTCTGATAATAGAACACAAAAGTGTGTATATATTTTATTATTATTCAGTTTTATTTTCATGCACTTTTCAAATAAATTTACTGCAAGAGATACTGTGATACTAGGATGTGAGCATCAGCCTGAATTAGTGATTAGACATGAGAAAATTGTGTGGCTGAGATGCATTAATTACTCTGTGAGGAATTTTTGTGTAATGTACAATTAGTATATATGCTGTATGCACTATCACATACTTTGTATTTAATGTGCTAAAAGTAATAGTAGTGTTTCTATGACTATTATTATTAGTTGGTAGCTTTAGTTTGAAAAGATTAATGTAGTAATGAAATGATAAAAATGTCATTTATACACACACATAAGCTAGCCTTCAGGAATTGTTAAGAACAATTAAAACATATTCAGCTTCCATTTCCCTGTAGTCTTTATTGGGTAACTAGTGAGCCTGTGGGCCATAGGCCCACATTTACAGGGCTGATATAATGCAAATTTAATGTTTGAACCACTATTTTGCACTTTTTCATTTCAATGGTCATTGCTGCTATAATGCAAGTTTAATTTCTTTAACCAAGTTATAAACAGTAATTAGTAGGCCTTCATATTTATGTGTTCTAATGTAAGTCAATGCCAAGTTTGGGGTCTGCTTTTGGGGAATTTATATAAAAGTGTTTTCTTGAAATACCTAAGGGGTTGGGTGTAAAGTTTTACCTTTGTGCAAACCTCGGGGCTGAGATGAGTTGTTTGGCACTATTTGGAAGTTGATGAGTCTAGCAGTTTAGAAGAAGGGTTTTTCGGAAATTCTACGGGTTCCCCATGTGATGTGGTGAAAAATGTTACCTTTGTGCAAACCTTGGGACAGAGACAATTTGTTTGGTACTAATTAGAAGTCAGTGTGACAAATGGTTTAGGAGAAGTTACATGACACACACAGACACTGAATCTTATTATATAGATTTTAAAACATTTTCAATTTACAGTTTCTTATGACAATGCTTCCTTCCAAGATTTAAAAACAAATAATGTTATCTAGTTACTGTTATATTCAAGGAATTTTTAAAGAGTTAGATTATTCCAGTAATGAAAAATGCAGTCATTCTCTAAAACATAAGTGCAAGAGGAACTGGCACTTAGAAGTTTTTGCTCACAGACATTTAGAGGGAAATTCAGAGTGTAGTAATTTCCTTATCCCACTGACTAAAGTCAACAGACACAAAGCTATTTCTCCAAACTGATTTACTGTACAGTTTGTTAAGTTATTGTATATTTATTGTATTGTTACCTGTAAGTGGAAAAAATATTCAATCCTAGTTTTTTTATTTTTGGTTAAAAAAGTATATTTTATACATCCTATCAATTATAACTCATTTTATATTCATTAAAAAGTTGTTTTTTTTTTTGGTACATTTCTTTGTTTCAACTGAAGCAATTATTTAACCTGATTGCCAACACAAACATCTTGCATGATCAATAAAGACTTACCATTTCACACCTATGTTCAGCATATTATAGGCCACTGTCCTTGTGATTGCTAAATATTGCTACCTGACTTTTTGGGAGTACAGAAATATTTCTGTAGCTCTAAAGAAACTAATGTAACAAAATTCCACCATCAGCAACAAGAAAAATGATAAACAAAATTCCAGGACTTATATTTAATTTCCTGGAAAGTATTTTGATGTTGAAACTTCTATTACAAATGGTTCACAACTTTTCTATATCATTTTTAACCTTAGCCAATCCCCTTTATAATAGTTTTTAAAGTTGTTTGCCCATGAGGACAACCAACTTTTCAAATCTACTCATCCCCTGTTCCCTGTCCAGAATGCATGTTTTGATGCACCTTAGCCTTATTTTTTTAATATGATCAGTAACATTGTAACTCATTAGTATACTGCAAAAGATTTTTACTTATTACTGTGCAGTTAGTTTTGATTCATGAAATCCTTATAATTGATGGCAATTTGCAAGTGTTGTTATGCATGAGGTGATTCTGAAAGTTTAGAAATAGCAGATGGTTGATGTATATTCAAAAATATCAATAGCATACTTACAGTTTCACATGAATATCATATATCAAACAGCAGAGTCAATATGTCTAGCTGCTGGGTTTTAAGTAGTTAAATTTTGTTGTTAGATTGCTCTGTATCTTAAATTGCTTTGAAAACTAATTTTTCCTCTTTTCTCTGAAATGTTAATATTATTTATATAATGCTGTCATTTACATGTATAATGATATGTAAGTATTTAATGTACTAAATACATGTTTTAAATATTTTACTCTAGGGGTGATTTACCAGAATCGGCTTTCAAGTATCAGTTACTCGGTTTAAACTTGTTGTGTCTTTTGGCTCAGAACAGAGTGGCAGAATTCCACACAGTAAGAAAAAAATTATACAGAAATTCTATTGTAAAAAACAGAAATATTTAGTTTTGTATTATGAACAATGTGGTGTTATTATGTAAAATATTGAAAGTGTACGCATCAGTTATTACATCTGGACAAGTACTTCTGACTTCATGTTTAATATGGAGGTACTTAACAAATTACAAGTTAACCTGGCTACAAGATTTGAGTAAGAACTTAGATACATAAATGGTAAAAAGTATAAAAATTGATCAGACTATACCTATTGGGATCTAAGAGAAGAAAGAAAGGTGAAACATTGTTCAGGAAGTATCTCCAGTCCCTCTGGAAACTAGTGTTAACTTAAGGTACTTGTACTCTCAGCCTACTTCTGGTTGCCAATTAACAAAAAGTTACATGTCTACCACTGTGTAACGGTACTTTTTCTTTTGAGTTCTTTATTATTTTAATGATCATTTGGCTGTAATGTTGAACCCATTTTCTCTTCTTTTTTTTTAACACCTGCATTATCTTGAAAAATGTTTTCAGATACTAGCATCCTCTACCTGTAATTGTTTACTTACATTAGGCTATATATGTTGGACGTTCCTATTTTTAATTTATTATTATTATACTGTCAAGAAGTCTTGCCTTTGTATCTGTAAATTACAGGATTATTCTTGAGTTTTTGTACTCATGCCTTAAATGCGAGATCTTTTTTTTTTGTTATAAAAGTTGACTGTCACTTTCTCTGGTTCAAATGAAGTGTATGTATTTTGTTATTTAAGTGTTGTACTGTATAACGATTTAAAAATCATATTCCTTTTTTTTTCTGTCATAGTGCATATAAAGGGAAAATAAATGTGAAGTTTATGTTTGAATTGCAGGAGTTAGAACTGCTACCTCCAAAAGAGATTCAGAACAATATCTATATCAGACATCCAGTTTCAATGGAGCAATACTTGATGGAAGGAAGTTACAATAAAGTAGGTGTTAAAATGTTTGTTATTAGTGAAAAGTAAAGTATTTGTAAACTAGACTGCATCTAGGGGCAAAAAACTTTGGTTCTCTTTTTACAACATGCATTAATTGTGTTTATTTTAGAAAAATGTTCTCTACAAAAGGAAATTCAGCCAAGTTTTTAACTGGTTCAGTAACAGTGAAATGTGGCACAATTCCTTCTAATTTCAAAGAATAAGACAAGCCGCTTAAATTTGTGGTTACAATATATTAATTATAACACTTCATTGTATAAATAAAGTTGTACATATGAAAATATAAATACTAGGAATGCACTGATACCCGGCCAGATATTCGGCCCTGGCTGGTTATTGGGGCACTTAATAATACTCGGCTCCAGCCAAGTGTTTTGAGGTTAAAAACAGCCAAATCCGGGTAATTGAAAATGGCATCTAAGCCCTAATCTTTGTGGCAACTTATGTGGTGCTGAAAGTTGTGGATTCATAGAACAATAGAGGCTAATAACAGGCATGGCTTGAGAAGTGGATTTTTGGTGAAGGTGGGGATTTTGAGAAAATAGGGGTTAGAGTTTGAGAAGTTTGGGCTAGGCAATAATCGGAATAATGATTCTAAAACGTGTCAACATCACTGTTTCTGTGTTTACTTTCACTGACCTCACTTTTGGAAGTCAAATGAAGCTTGATTTCCCACAATGGCCAGGATAGCAAGGTGATATCTCTCCGCACCTCCAACCAGTGAAAACAGCGAATGGGCTTTTAGTACCACTGGCAACATTATCACACACAAAAGGTCAAGGCTTTTACCTGAAAATGCTGAAATGCTACTGTTCCTCAAGTACAATTTAAACAAATTTCAACTGGTGTGCACATTTTTGTTAGTTAATTTTGAAAGTTGAAAGTAAAACTGGAATGTTCTATTGGTGATTATTTGGTTAAATGTAATAAATGTCAATTTTATTTTGTGTATGTTGTTGTTTGGGGGGGGGGGACCAATCACAGTGGACACCCGCCTGAAGCTTAGTGACCAGGTACCTGGACCCAGTATTCGGCCAAATTTTACTACTCGTGCATCCCTAATAAATATGTTTTGTAAAAAAAAACCATCAGTTTAACCTTGTGGAATTTACATATCAGAATACTTGCTTTAGAATAATTAGCAAGAAAGTAAAGATGAAGTTAATATTTTAATATTATGCAGCTCATGACATCAATTTTTTGTGTTGTGCTTTTAATCTTTAAATCAAAAAGTGAGATGATAGTGTGTGTAACTATGTCATGAGACTTAGATGTATTCATATTTAAAAGAAATAAATGCAGTTTCATTAAACTATCTTATAAATAAAAAATATTATATTGTATTTCCAGGTATTCCTTTCCAGAGGTAATGTACCAGCTGAGAGTTATAATTTTTTTCATTGACATTCTCCTAAACACTGTCCGAGATGAGATTGCAGCATGTATAGAAAAGGCTTATGAGAAAATATCTTTTAATGAAGCTGCACGTATGCTGTTTTTTCAAACACCTAAACAACTTATGGATTACACAAAAAAGGTAAGTTATTCAAGGAAAAATATAGTAAAAAAAATTGCGCGTGTCTATATTTATAAATTAAATAGTATGAGAAAAATACCTAGAAATAGTAAGGAATTAGCAAATACAAAACTGTAAGAATAGTACCATCATTAATAAAAGAACACTGCCTTTTAAAAAAAAAACTCTTAAGATCACATTGGAAGCATTACTGCAAAATATAGAGAAGATGGTGTGTGGAAAAAACTATTTTTTTCATTTGCAAATATACCACTGATAAAAGTATCATGTTAAAAAGTTTAAAGCTACCATGATAAATGTTGCAGTTAATGTATCTGAAAAGTATGTGAAATGTATGTTCTTACTGTTTTGTATATTATTGATATAAGAAAAAATCAAGTTTACTCTTTGAAATGTTAAACCATACTTAAACACGGGAAAGTATGAAAAAAACATTTTCTGAAGATTTTGTGAATATTGATTTAAATCTTCAAGTTGGAGTTTTTACTTTTAATGCAAAACATTCATTTATGTATTTTAAAATAATTCTAAGAACCTATGATTGAAAACAAAGGAGAATATGTTATAATTTGTCAAACAAACTACATCTGCCATACTGATAACATACTTGTTGAGGAATGATAAAAAAAAATAATTTAAAAAAACTAATTATTTAAGGCTTCTAGTGGTAGTAATAAAGAAATGGATTTAAAGAGATCACAACTGTCATATTCAAGCCAGCTCGATGTATGCACTTTAATTATTCCAAAAATAACTGGAGAAATAATTTTAAATTGACATGTGTGGAGAGAGAAAGAGTAAAGGAAAAATAATATTTGAAGTGGTTTCAGAAATATGGTAAACACTTAGTTTATGTTCAAATTGTCGTAGATCTTAAGAAGTTTTGGTTAAGAGCAGATGTATCTCTATTCAGCTTCTTGTTTCTATTTGAGTAACTACTTTGGATTAGACATACTTACCCAGCTCTCAGATCATATACATACAATAAGAATGCTCTTATTATACTTGAACTTTGTGATATTAAGTTACTTATTATTTTCTTGGCTTTGAAATTACACAGGTGCAATTCGTCAGTTTGAACTACTATTTTTTGTGTGTATAATTCTTAGTTCTTTCCTATTTGTTTGCAACCTCTGTTATTCCCCTATAATCATACATTTCTCTACTTTGGACAGTTGAATTTTATGTTCTTTTTCAATCCCAAAATTCTAGCTGTAATATTACAGGGGTAGTATTCAACTATTGAAATTAAATTTTTCAATTTGTGTAGTGTACATTAATCCATGTGTTTTTATAAGATGTAATCACATGCAAAAATATGTTATTTTTCACACACCACCTGAAACATAAACATCTCTGGTAACAAACTATATGCTCTCTTAAAAATATTAATATTTTTCTATAGTCCACATAAATACTGGTATATACAGAGATATGTTTTTTATATTGTTGGTGTGTGATGGAGTTAGGGTTTTTTCTGACTGGTTTTTAAAAAATTAATTTTTTTTTCAGAGGAAATGGACTGTGAGAACAGGAAACTTGTTAGTATTCAGCACTGAAATTAAACATGTAGATGATAATGTTCCTGCATCAGATTTAGCAACACAAGCCATAGAATATGCCAGAGAATTAGAAATGATTGTCTGAGGTTATAACTGATCCTGATAAACTTCAAATTAATTGGTTACTATTTTTTATTTAAAATGTTAATAGAAAATTAGGAATTGTACTCTTGCTGAATGTAAAATGCATAATCAGCCACAAATAGAAACCATATTCATTCCCATTATCTTGTTTATTTTGAAAGTTCTGATAAAATAAATACAGTGGCAAAGATTATACATCGAATAAGAGTGGTTATTAGACTGGTTTGTAATCTAGCTTAGATTCTAACTTTTTGTTATCCGAAACCTTACGCACAGCTTTCATGAAATCCTCTTCAATTACATACTCACGATCAGCTCGTATAGCAAACATGCCTGAGAAAGAAAAATTGAACGTTATTAATACCTGAAAATATATCTACAACAATCAAGTTCAATATTAAGAATAAAGTGTAAACATATTTTTATCTAAGAAACTAAGGTGGATAAACAATGGATTTATGATCATTGTCCACCTTCACTGTTTCAATGGCAGATTATCAGTAAACATTAGTGCTTTCATAAAATATCTACTAATTTTTTTTTAAATCGTAAGGTTTCTCTTTTTTTTCATGTCTTGCCTATCTATCATGGAAAGTAATTTTCATTTTAAGGTTAAAAATACTCTTATGCATCAGAAAATTTTGAAATTTCTCAAGTGAAATGTTTATAATGTCCAGATAGTTATCAAACGTTTCTTAGGAAAAACTACATTTTATCTGTTATTTTCAGTAATTAATCTCAGTACAGGTTTGGTAGATTTTAACGATCTTGGAAATATACATAAATTATGCCTCTTTCATTCTAGAATTATAACACAAAAACAAACGTTTAGGTGAAATAGCTTAAATCTCATAACATTATACATTTATTATTTTTGTATTCCCCTATAATCATACACTTCTCCTCTACTTTGGACAGCTGAATTTTATGTTCTTTTTCAATCCCAAAATTCTAGCTGTAATATTACAGAGGTAGTATTCAACTATTGAAATTAAATTTTTCAATTTGTGTAGTGTACATTAATCCATGTGTTTTTATAAGATGTAATCACATGCAAAAATATATTATCTTTCACACACCACCTGAAACATAAACATCTCTGGTAACAAACTATAACTGGCTAACAATACAGAAGTTACAATGATGCGGCTCACGTGCACTCATGTTACCATATCAAATAACATAAAACTGACCTTTGGTTTGTACAAAGTAACTTGTCTTGGCTGTGTTTTAGTCGACTAGTATTTTGTAAAAAGTTTATAAACATTTTTCCTAAAACATGGAACATTAAATAAAGAAGTAAAGCAGACAATTATCTCTTCTAGTTACGACCTTTGTACTTGGTTGTTGCTTGACATAGGTTGCTAAGCCTTTAAAAATTTTGCACGTGGAGGATATGAATAGCTTAAATCTCATTACGTTATATATTTATTATATTGACCTTTTCAGCCATGCCTGGCTAACATTACAGAAGATGCAATGATGCTGCACACGTGCACTCATGTTACTTTATCCAAGTATATAAAACTAGCTACAAGGTGACCTGTCTTAGCTGTGTTTTAGTGGACTAGTATTTTGTGAAATACAGTCACATTTCTGTTACATTATTACTATTTACAAATAAGTTCTTAAACTTATTTTTCGTTAAACATAGAACAGTAAAGAAGTATAGCAAACAATTATCTCTTCTAGTTATGAACTTTGTACTCATTTGCTGCTTGCCATAGGTTGCTAAGCCTCATCAAATTTTGCATGTGGAGAATATAAAATGAAGTAATTTTTTTAGATTTTATATATACATTTTGAAATAACAAAAATCATAAATTACCAT